CCAGCCAGTCTCACAATCCTTTACTCCCCTACCCAGCAGCAGCCACTTACCTGCCTCCTCTCTATTGTCTGTGCTCAGGGGTTGTGGGGGAAGGTAATTGCTTGTTACGGGAGCTTGGGAGCTCCTCTGCTCCACTGCTTGCCCTCTCCTCCACATTTACTTGGTTATCCTGCACCCTCTCTCCTTCACTGGCAACCGTTCCCAGGCCTTGTCCTGTTCCTCCGGTTGTTCCTCAGGGGCCAGAGACGCTGTGCCATCTTCCTCCATCCACCCTAGCTCTGTCTCATCGTCCTCCTTAGACCCAGGCTCTGACGGGGCCATGACCATACCATTCCTCACCGCACTCCACCCACATTTCCTCTCCTACGCAGCACTGGCCTTGCACTTGTAACTGCCTGTCCCAAGTTCCCCACTGATGGGAGGGAGGGAAGGAGGGAGGGGAGGGAGGGAGGATCTCTGATGCTTTCTGCCAGCTTCCCATAAAGAAACTCAGTTGTTCCTGTTCCTACTGCTTTTTTGCCTACCCATGGTCATTCTGTTTCTCTGTTTAGGTAAGGTAAGAAAATATATCTGAACCAATGACCCACTGGGAAATGGATTGTATGTGGAGTGGGTTGTCCAGTACCTATACGTAATCATTTTCCCCACTAAATTTAATTGTTGATGTGCGTACATCAGAAACCACTTATGGTTGGCTCAAAATACTAACCCTTGATATTTATAGAAGAATGATAATATTTCAGTAGATAAAATAGAATCAATACTACACAGTTATTAATATGTACTTGGAACTGGAATTAGTGGATTATGTGTAATGAAAAGAGGGTTATCTGGTATTAGAAGGATATTTTGCTTATCCTTTTGATACACATATGTAGGCATATACAGGTAATCCCTGGGTTATGAATGTTCTGTTAGCGAACATCCGAAGTTACATGATCAGCACACCCTAGCGTTTCTGAACAAGGCCCCAAACTACGAATCTTGCAGCACCATGGCAGTTGTTCGCCCTTATGAACAACCGCAGAGGCTCTGCAACATTCATACTGCACGTTGCTGGCCAAAATGGAGCTTCTGAGGGGGGGATTCGCCACTCAGAAGCTCCCCTTGGGCATCCAGAGGTCTCTATTACATTCATAACTTCAGGACTACCTGTATGGGCAGGGGATACAGCTGAGCCTCGGCATCCAGGAAGCTACACATACAGTTCCTGCCACTGTCAAACAAAAGTATTGTAAGGAGCAAAGGTGAGAATGACTGGCAAAGACACCTCTACTCAGAGAGTCACAAGGGATAAATTGACATTGCATAGAAAAGGTTCATTTAAGGGAAAACCATGCCCTATTAGAGCATTAGTCTAAAATCCAAGATCCAATAGGGTTTACCTTCCTAAATCAGCAATTTTATAATTCCTAGAGATAATTATAATAGGTTGATTTGGTCCCACATTGTACATTTATAATAGGAATTATATGTCTTCCTTTATCTTTCAAAAACAGGGCTTTAAAATGACTCAGATACATAAAAGTTCACTTACTTGCAAACACTCTGCTTCCTGAAAGCACATCATAACAAATAACAGATAATTAGAGTTGGAAGGGACCTTGTAAGTCATCTAGTCTAACCCCCTGCCCAAGCAGGAGACCCTACATCATTTCTGATAAATGGCAGTCCAATCTCTTCTTGAAAGTCTCAAGTGATGAAGCTCCCACAACTTCCGAGGGCAAGCTGTTCCACTGGTCAATTGTTCTCACTGTCCTTGTTCAGTTTCCATCCATTGTTCCTTGTCTGGCCTTTGGGTGCTTTAGAAAATAGCTTGACCCCTTCGTCTCTGTGGCAGCCCCTCAAATATTGGAAGACTGCTATCATGTCTCCCCTGGTCCTTCTCTTCACTAGACTAGCCATGCCCAGTTCTTGTAACCGTTCTTCATATGTTTTAGTCTCCAGTCCCCTAATCATCCTGGTTGCTCTTCTCTGTACTTTTTCTAGAGTCTCAACATCTTTTTTATAGTGTGGTGACTAAAACTGGATGCAGTACTCTAGGTGTGGTCTTACTAAGGCTTTATAGAGTGGTATTAGTACCTCACTTGATCTTGATCATCATTCAGGAATGCTTTCACACCATCCATGCAGATACCTTTATATTATTTGAGGAAGGGAAGGTATGTTTGTCTCTCATTAGGGGTGGGATGCTGTCGATATAACAACCGGCTCAGTGATCAAGCACTTCACTGAGCGCACGTCAACACAATGCAAAAGTCCTTACCTACTATGTTACTTCGTAGTAACACAGCTGAGAGCGGCAATTTGCTAATTAGCTGGGACAATAAAGGTCAGTACTGTACAGGGGTGGGCAAGTTGGCCCCACATGATTGTTGCAGTGAACTGGTTTGGAGACAGCTGATCTTCGGAGCAAGGGGTTCGTCCAAACTGGTCCAAACTGGTAGAATCCCACCCCTGCTCTCATTATAATATGAACGTTAACTGCCATCAACTGCTATTCTTTGAAATGAATGTGACATCTCAACTTTCAGTATGGCTAAACATTACAGAACAGGTTTAAGTTTGAGTTTAAAAGCAAAATGGTTTCTTAATCCTTGTTTTCTCAAAACT